GTACAAAATCGTACGAGTGAAGTCGTACGAATTCGTACGAATTAGCCATCTCGTAAAATACGTAAGAATTGGTCACGAGATAGCGTTGGATTAATCCGTATCTAAAGCTGTGTCTACACCAAGAGAACCCATTATAATCAGTTGATGCGGTGACCACAGGGAAGTGGTGCGAGGCACAAATCTTCTACAGTAACTGATGCCTCCTTCTATCCCGAATCTTTGAAACATGCAAACCTAAAAAAAACAGCGAGCATAAGAAAGCGATTGCACGCTTTCGTGAGCTTCAGCAAATGCACGCGATCACAGAAGCTTCCCAGCCGAAACAACCCCCCACGTGAAATTGAAATAATAACCCGTGATATAAGATTTTGGCCATATTGCCCATCTAAATCATTCATCCCACACTATCAACAGGCTTGTAGGCTACACTTCTTGTACTTCGTTTGGGCACCACAAGGTGTCGCTGTGGCCTCAAAGCTTACTCCTCGCCTACTCTGGCTCGATTGCTATTCCTGAGGTAAAACACGCCCTCCTCATTACTAGGGCTGGGAAGAAAAAATATATCGATATCTCGATATTAATCGGTTATCATTGTTACGGAACGATATCGATTCTTAAATCCCAATAATCGATTAGTGTAGCCTGTTTTCAGTTAATGGACGGAACATTGAAGGGCACTTCCCATCCAATAAATCGCAATAAGCATTGTGCTTTGGTGCTTTTAATATGAAACAAAGTCTCTCAGGTTTCAATTTATGTCCATTGTATTGCAGTATTCAAACAATAAATGCCATTTTGGCGCTGTTTAATGTGGAGTGACAGATCGCTGTAGCGCCTCCGTTCAACAGACGCAGCAGCGCGAGGCACACGTGATGTGAACTGATCGTCTCCTCCACATTAATACAAGTTTCAACACAAAATAATCATGACTAAATATCCGAAGGTAAGTTAAATGAAAGAGTACAACTTTACAATCCGTATCCTGCCTCATGTAGTCGCTCAATCAGTGTTTCAGCCGCGCAAATTTTTTATGACAGCCATCATTTACATTTTTATATTTAAAAAAACGAATTGAAGTAGAAATATTATGTAATTGTAACTTTATTATTTTAAAAACTTCATTGTGTAATTTTAACAGTTGTATGCTATAGCTTACAAATCAGTTAATTTTAACCTTCAATATTATAGTAATGTAGTACCAACTGACTCTCATGTATATTTTACAGCATTAGTTGAGAGATTTTTTT